CCCTGCAAGAAAGATTTTTATCATATCAAGGTTACATAGAAATTGTTCTAAAAAATTTCTCATGTTATTAATCATTAGGGTTGATTCGACTACTTGGTTGGTTTCCCTTCTTCATAGTTTTGCCCATAGATATTACGGCATTTGCACTCTGGGTAGAATTTTCATATCTGAGTAGAGCCCCTATTTTATGACATGAGTAGGTTTATTTTAGGATGTCTGATTTTTGTGAGACAAAAATCCTTTTTATTTCTTAACACTTAATTAATGCTGTTTTTGTGTTTCTAAACTGTTTCATTTTCGGGAGAGCATCTTGTGTTAATAGATGTTCCTTAGCCAGTTCCTCAGGGTAGAATTTGATTTACAAACCTGAAGCTTTGACAGTGGTCACTGTTTCCTCTTCTCACAATCTTAAGTCATAGCTGAAAATAAGGTTCTTTTTGTTTTTTGAGTAATTTGTGTAGTATTTTTCAATAGTGTTACTATTTTGTTGTTAAACATCTAAAAAAATAGCTATTATTTCTCTTACTGATAAAGACTAGGCAGTGCTATTTTCCCTATATTAGCATTGTTAGGTAAAAAACTATTGAAAATATTTTGTATCATCTGTGTAGAGTCACAGGTGGTATGCTGAATTCTATGTTATTTGTAGTAGACTTAATTTTCTGTTATTTCTGCATGGAGACATTATTCTTGAGTTACAGGAAGATTTCACAAGGATAGTTATTGATGTGTTTAATTTGTAATAGTGGTGTGATTTATTAATGTTTCTATCAAGGCTTTCTATTAAAAGTGTTGCAGTTTTTTTCTTAGCTCAGCATCTTAGGAACTGTCATCCTTACGCAAGGAACCATCAAATTAAATGGCTAACATATGTTCAATTTGAAATTTATCATTCATATAAAATTAGAATGTCGGTGTCAGAATCCTCTTAACTACTAAAGATGCTTGAAGTGGTCTTTTGGGTTTGGGATGCTCTTTCTACCCTTTGGATGTAAACCATTCTCTGATATATCATTTGTTCATCACGGGATGAATTGGTCTGAGGAATGACTTCAGAAGACTTTAAAAATATATCCACAATGTGTTGCTTATAGATACAAAATTATGTTGAGAGATTAAGAACTAAGCTGCCAAAAAAAAAAAAAAAAAAAAAAAAGAACTAAGCTGCCATGTATCAATTTGGGATATTCCTAAGGCTTTTTATGAGAATTGATTTCTATTCTATATATTTAACAATCTTCAATAGAAAGTGGTTGTTCTGTTATGTACCATCTTTCCATTGCTTCATGAGGATTCTATTGTGGTTTATATGTTTAGGATTTATATATTGTGGCAAAGAATAGGGGATTTAGTTCCATATTCTAATTATAATAGGAAATTCATACCACCTGAGTGAATTTTCATTACAATAGAGTATCCCATGAGTCTTCTGGCCAGAGAGAGGGCCAGGAGCCAGGCTATTCCCACTGCTCTGCTGTTACTGCTCTGAGAGATAGTGGCATATTTTGGAAACCAATTTTATTGTAAAGAGTATGAGATTCTCTATATCTTGCATCCTGAGCAATTGAGTATTGGGCAAAGTGGTGATTCTTTTTTTTAAAGTAGCATTCTTGTTAGAAACCCTAGTTTCTAGCTTTTCTTGAGGATTTTGGTTTTTTGGAAGCAATGCTTACTGTACTTCGCTATGATAAAATCCAGAATTACCTGGTTTCAAGTAAGAAATGCTAAACATCTTAGAATTGTTTTACATTTTTTTTGTTTTCCATATGACTTTGCTTTGGGATAAGTTTAAAAACTTAATATTGTTTGGGGAGGAGATGATAGTGTTTGAGCTTAATCGTTCAGCTAAAGTAGCAAGTTTGTAAAATATAACAGAGGTGTATAGCATGAGGCAAGTAGTAAAGAGTTCTGTTACTGTTAAACTTTATGATATTGGGCAAGTTAATATCCTTTAGTTTTACTTTACTTGTTTGCCTAGTGAGCACAACATACCATATATTTAATTATATTAGGGTAGATGAAACAAAGAATTGGAAAGTTCTTTGTAAACAGTGAAATTTTATACAGCTGTTAATTTTATTGCTATGTCAGCAGATTACAGTGCCAAATGGTGACATACTTTTCCTTGGCACACTAGCTGCTGACTGTTCCATGTGTTACTACTGCTCAAGCCAAGTCATACCCAGTATTAGCTTGTCATTCTTTATGGCTCTGCAATTTGATTTCTCTGGTGGAGCAATTTAGAGAGCTTGATGACTTCTGAACAGAATTTCTGGGATGCTTGAGGTAGAAAGCCTGACAGCCATTATTCTTAGCATATTTGGGTTTTCATATTTTAATAGAGTATAGCTTGTAAGAGTGCTTAGCAGTTTTTCTAACTGCTCAAACAAGAATAATTTCTGCTAAATGTTGTGAACTATTATTTTATTAGATGTGCAAGAGAACAAAAGGACTGATACTTGTCTGTATCCAGTTGCAGTTTAAAATTAAGAGACTGCATAAGTCTTGTTCATTTATAGCATTAATAGCACAAACTTATCTTTCTACTCCACTTTTGATATTTCAGCAGAATCATCTCATTTGTATTTTTTCCTGTGTACAAGTCAAAATTCTAGGTAAGATTTTCTCAGACTTAATAGATAAGGTTGAAGGAGATGTTAATCCTAGAGTTGTGATGGCTGTCTTTCACAACTGATTGTTGAACCCATGGAACCATTTTTCTGAAACGTGAAGGTTTTAAGAAATCCATCCTGAGAAGGCCATTACAAAAGCTTTTATTGCTTAAGTTCTCTTACCAGAGCAAGTACAGAACCATAGCTGCTGTCTTCTTCATTGAAATATAGTTTACAATAGACACGAATAATTTTAGGTTATACCCCCAAACAGCTTTTGCTTTCAATTTAAACAAAAGCCACTTACGCTCTTAAGATATTAACTTATCTTAATTAAAAAACAATGACTTTGTTTTTTTATTAGACCTGTGATATTTTATAAGCGACTTGCTCTGTAGAATTACTAATTCACAACTCTTCATTCATTCATTCATTCATTCATTCATTCATTCATTCATTTATTGTGCTATGGTTTTGATGGGAATGCTCTAGGGAAAGTCAGATTGTTTGAAATCACCTCTGCTATTTATTTTCTTTAGGACAATTGGATTAGAAGAAAATGTATCTAATACATTGGACTTTTAATCTTTCTGTATCACTTCATTTATAGTTTAAGTTCAAAAGACTGATTTTGTCTTTAGGAATACTGTAATGCAGGTAAGGAGAGGCTTATTTTATAGATGAGGAAGTAAATAACTTAGAGTAGTTAACCTGAAACAATGTTAAGAGTAACACAGTCAGAAATAAATGTAATAAGGATTGTTTTTTGGGAATGGAGCATTATGATTTGATTGTTTTTTGGGAATGGAGCATTATAATTTGAACTTGAATTAGATTAACTTAGTTTTTTTAGCAAATACATTTAAGATTTATCTTACTCGGAGTGAAATGTCAAGAGAGCATTTGAAAGCTTTGAGAGCTGTTATCTGTTGACTTGTTTGGGGGTTTGTATGTACTTAAAGCATATGTAATATTGTAAGAATTGGTTGATTGAGGAGATAGCTGACCATGACATAATATACACTGCTTATCTTATGCAGGAATCAATCATTGTGGTATTGTCTGTTATGAAGACTGTCTTAGAGAATTCCTTAATCATAGATACTACTTATTATTTGTTGTCTATATTAATACTTCTGTGAACTTAAATGTCTATAGATATTACAGTATGACATGAGTATTAATTTATCTGGCAATTTTATATTTGGTAGGTGAAAAATACCCAACTATTAGAAAATTGGATAGTTGTATTTTTGATCTTTTTATATGTAAGGTACAAATGACTAATCTTGACTTGGTATCTAGAGTTAAATATATTATTTTTTCTTTCATTAGTTAGTATGAATCTAGATAACATTTGAAAAATAGGATTGATATCATGGAAGAATAGCAGAGGAGAAAGTGCAGGTTAGGAAGTGAGCCTAAGAACTACATTGTACTGAAAACTAGTTTTAGAATTGTTGAACACAGAAGAAACATGATTCATAATTGTTAATCACAATGGTTGTAGTTACTAGTCTGTATTCTGAAATCACTTAGAACAATGTAAAACTCTTTAAAATTAGGTGCTAGGTATAGCAGAGCATGGTTAAGAGTAGTATAAGAATTCAAAAATTGTGATTTGTGATTAGTTACATAGGGGGTGGTTTTTGAGCTTGAACTGACGAATCTTTGGATTACTTCTGGGAATGAGAGAAGGTAAAAAGTGTAAGTAGAGGGCCATGGCTGGGCAGAGACCCCAGAGCCAGTAAGCTACTTGTGAATGATGCTCAGTTCAGAATAGTTTCGATATTTCTTTTAAGTTTTACTTTTCTTGTCCCCCAAATTAGCGTTCTTTCTCATGTTCCTTTTCCCCTATCTGAACTTTTTTGGAAAGGTACGCCATTATTAAAGAGAGATGGAGAACAAACAACCAAAACATAATCTTCCTAAAGGCAGAGTGCTCTGAATAGTGTGAGCTTATTTAGAAATTTTAAGTTGCACCTATTTTATTTTCAAGTAACATAAGGAAGCCTTGAAGAAAGGACTAGAGCCTTTGGAGTTGGACAAATAAGGATTCAGACCTGCTGGGTCTACCATTTAAATCTTGGAAAAATTTCAGTCTTCCCATTACCTTTAATAAGGGAACAGCACTATTTACTTCATGAGGTTTTTGTTTTCATTAAATGAAGTCACGTCTATAAAGAAATGCCTTGTCTGTTAAATGACTGAGTTAAATTGTGGTTTAAAAAATTACTTATAATTGAAACAAATGATTGAAGTAATTCTATGTGATAAACTAAAATGAGCATTTACAAATACTTTGTAATAAAGAATAGAGTCATTATGTATACTTTTCTCTGTTTAATTCTGTACAGTTTTCATTATTCTATCCCTTCTTTCCTTTAGGAGATAAGGATGGCAGCAAGGTGACCACAGTGGTGGCAACTCCTGGGCAGGGTCCAGACAGGCCACAAGAAGTCAGCTATACAGACACTAAAGTAATTGGAAATGGGTCATTTGGTGTGGTATATCAGGCCAAACTTTGTGATTCAGGAGAACTGGTTGCCATCAAGAAAGTATTGCAGGACAAGAGATTTAAGGTAAAACCTTCGGTATTTCATGTTTTTTTTGTTGTTGTTGCTATCAATATATGTAAATTACTTAATTCTTTTTTCCTTCAGATTTTATATATTATGCAATTATATGAAAACCACTGTAACAAGTTTATTTTCATTGTGTTTATAGAGATAAATTTACTGAAATGCAATATTTATTTTCACATACTGCTATGAGTGATTTATGTATTTATATGCTGTGACAGGTAGATTAAAATTTTTTTTAAAGCTTTATTTATTTATTTATTTATTTATACAAGCACTGGGTACAGTCAGAAGCGCGGGAGGGTGAGAGAATCCACCAGAGCCAGAGCAGGGAGCAGAGCAGGCAGAAGGACCGAAGTACACTGCTGAGGGGAGCAGCGGGCAGCAGAAGAAGTCTACGTGCCATGCGGGACCCTCCTCCGGTGGCCGGGGAGCATCCGGGAATCAAACCAGCGCTGCAGAGGCTGCGGGCAGCTTCACAACCCAGCGCTCAACCACTGCGCCACCGGGGAGGCCCTAGATAAAAATTTCTTAATTGATGCTTTTACAAAGTGACCTCTCTATTCCTTGGATCTTATTGCTGTAGGAAACCAGAGAAATAACTGTTTGTTGCAGTGATCATTTGACATGGTTGACTATGCTTGCTTTCTTGAAAAATTTCCTTTGAATCCGTGATTTAGCATTATCATTTTTGTTCTCTATAACTGACCTTTGCTGTCTTCTTTTATGTCTCTTAGAAACACAACTCCCAAAGTTGAGTTTATTTTCATTTCTTATACCCTCTCTTTAGCGCACACTGTTGATGGATGTTCAGAAAGTCCTTTTCACGTTAAGGTGTAGTGGAGTCAAGAGACCTGGGATTCAGTCAAGGTTGTGCCATCAGCACGTTATCAGCTCTGCTCACTTCCTTGCTCCTCCCACCTCTGAAACATTTTACTGAATCTGCCATGTATTGGCATAATGTGAAACATTAAGAGATAAAAGAACAAATAAGAGGTGAGCACTGCTCTGAAATAGCACATAGTCTAATGGCTATATCAGCATTGTAAAGACTAAATTTTAAAGTCTTTGTCTCCAGTTTTCTTCTCTTCCAAGCATTACTCCCATGTTGTCAAATGCCCACTTGATTTTGATGTCTGAATATTGTACTATGCATATTGACTGACTTTTTATCTAACCCTGACTTAACTTTCATAAGCCAGTGGAACTCTTTCTTGTTGGTCAATGGAAATCTTTCCTATTGGTTCCCGTAGGAAATTTACTTTTTCCTTCTCATGGTTTTATCATTCACTTTGGCATTCTCTCCTCCTTTATATCTAATCATTATCAAACGTGGTGGTGTCTTTCCCATTCCCACCCACAGTACCTTGTTGATCTCTACTTCTTTTCCTTTCTCATCATCACTATTCTAGTCACACCCTTGTCATTACTGGGTTTAACCACTAATAAATCTCTGATGTTCTCGCTTCATTCCCTTCTATAAACCGACATTAGAACAGTTCCCCAATTGAGTTTAGTCATGTAGTTTATGTTACATGTAAATTGATGGTTCCTCATAGTCTAGATTATAAAGCCTTCCAGGTTCAATTGTACTTTCAGGAGTGTCCATTGTCTTGCCCTATCTACAAATACACAGCTTCCCAAACCTCTGTGTCACGTTGTGAAATAAAATGGTCTTTTATGGTTTCTCTGCTTTTATTCAGCTTCCTTTCATTACTCTCATTGTGAGCATAATAGAAAGACCCATGCCACATTCTTCCTTTATGAAATTCCCCCGGTGATTCCAATCAGCCATATGCATTTTGCTATTCTAAATTTCTTTAGCTCTTATTGCCATAAACTAGGACATTCTGATTTTTTTCCCCCAAGGACTCCATTTTTATTATGTTTGTTTCCTGAATAAAACCACATATTTAATGTTTTTTTGTATTAGTTGATGATAGCAAATACTTACCAAATTGTTATTATTTCCTAGGTGATCTATTGACATTTTACATATGTAGATTTATTTGCGCCTTACCATTAATACTGTGAGATTGGTACTGTTATTATTGGGGTAAGGAAACAAAAACAAAGACTAAGAGAGGTGGAAGTATGGATAAGTATTTGAATCCAAGCAATTGACTCCAGAGTGCTTTACTGTATTTTATGATTATATCAATCCTAAATTTTATGTTCAGAAGGTATTTGGATTAGTTCTTTTCCTTATTTTTTTATTTTAATTTTTCCCTTTAGCTTAGTTGGGTTATTTATTTGAAATAAAATTTTATTCATCTGTTTGTGTGTTTATGGCTTCTTAGAACTTTACCTCCATTCTTTCAGACTTAATTTTTTTTTAGATTTTAGTCTATGAAACATTCACTTGGTTCCATAAGTCAGAAATACATGTGTCATTCATCTTTCCTCAGCCTTGTTTCTACTTACTCCCTACAGATAGCTAATTTCATTATGTTCTGATTTGTTCTCTAGTTTTCTCTTGCACAAAGGAGGAGGGGTGTGTGTGTGTGTGTGTGTGTGTACGTGTATGTATTTCTTTCATACACAAAAGATCATGTGTTAGAGACTCTTTTCCACTTTGCTTTTTCTCTTCATTATATTTCCTGGAAATCATTACATATCAGATCAGAGATTTTTCTCATCCTTTTTTACAGCTACATAGTATCGCATAGTTTTTTCAACCTTTGTCCTGTGTATTTGTTTTCAGTACTTTGCAATTTCCAGCAGTGCTATTACGGATAAACTGCATGGTTTTTGTTTTTGGGTTTTTTTTTTTTTTCAGTTATTTTTACTAAATTTGTGTCTTCAGGATTACATAAAGAGAAGTAAGATGGCTGTATCAAAACATAAACACATATGTAGTTTTGTTTGATACTGCTAAATTATTGTCCATAATGGTTATATCAGTTTGTATTTGCTCCAGTAAATATATGAATGCCTATTTTCCAATACCTTTGACAATAATAATTCCTCTCCTTTGTCAGTTTTGCTAATCTAATAGGTGAGAAATGGTATCGCATTGCAGTTTTCATTGTAATTGTATTATGAATATAGTTTAATATTTTCTTTTTTCTGAAGTATTCATGTAAATGTCTTTATTACTACTTTTGCTTTCTTCTTTTTTTAATTTTATTTAAATTTTATTTTTATATTCCCCATACAATTACAACCCCCTTATTTTGACCCCAAGCCCTCCTTTCCCTGTCCCACCACCCCTCATAGAGTGTCTCTGGTTTGTAGTTGTTTGTTGATTTTGATATTTTCTTTCTTACAGTTACTCTTTTTCCTGGTCCCTTATTTAGGTTTTCTAGATTCCTGCTATGAGTGAGACCATCCGGTATTTTTCTTTTTCTTTCTGGCTTATTTCGCGGAGCATGATCCCTTCCAGCTCCGTCCATGTTGCTGCAAATTGTATGTGTTTATCTTTTTTGAATGATGAGTAATATTCCATGGTGTATATGTACCACATCAAGAAGATAGTTTAGTATTTTCATTTGTTCAGTCTTTTCTTTTTGTATGTGTATCAATTGTCCACTTTTGGGACCCATTTTTAAAATGGTTTTTTGGGCCCACCCTAGTGGTACAAGTGGTTAAGTCTCAGCACTATGAAGTTATCAGCAGCCACTGCAGCATGAGTTTGATGCCCAGCCAGGGAGGTGACCTACATGGCGCAGCAGACCTCTCTTGTCTCACCCGCTGTTCCCTTCAGCAGTATATTTCAGTCAATCTGCCTGTTCTGTTCCCACTCTGTCTCTGGTGAGTCCTGTCTCCCACACACCCCCACCCTTCAACTCTGTCCTACACCCCAGCTCTGGTATGAATAAGTAAATGAAATAAATCTTAAAATGGGTTTTTGATCTTTTGTGCTCAGCCCTGAAGAGTTCTTTATTGTGTTTTAGCCCTTATTATTGAAATATGTAGTATATTACTTTGCATGTTCTTTTTTTTTTTTTTTTTTTGCCATATAAAAATCACCCCTCCTTCACATGCAGTCAATTTTATTGTTCCCCCCTTTTTAAAAATTCATATCTGGGCTTTGAATTATAATTAGAAACTCATCTTTAGGTGCCTCCCTGGTGGTGCAGGGGTTAAAGAAAGCGCTATCAAACTATTGCCAGCTATAGCAGCAGTAGTCCACTGGCCAGAGAGCTAACCCACATGGCGCAACAGACCTCTCCTATCTGGCCCACTGTTCCCCTCAGCAGTGTATTTCAGTAGATCTGCCTATTCTACACTCCACTCTTTCTGGTTAATCCTCTTACTTCTCACACCTCTGGCTTACACCCCAGTTCTTGTATGCATAAATAAATTAATCTTTTTAAAAAAACTCAACTCAGTTTCTTATAAAGTTTTTCCTTAATAGAAAGTCTTTTCCTCAGGTTAAAGAGAAGTTCATTCATATTTTCTTCTAGTAGTTGTAGATTTCATTTTTTACATTTATATCCCTCTCCCATTTGAAATTTATTGTATATGGAGTTTATTCCTGTGTATGTTATGGATTGTCTAATTTTGTCCTTTCTAAACCATTAACCAATTGTCTCATCACAATTTATTAAATAGTGTGTCTTTGTTCCAGTGATAGGAGATGCTTCTGTAATTCTGTGCTTAACCTTCACATTTACTTGGTCTACTTCTGGGTTCTCCATTCCATTTCACTAGGTTGTTTGCATATTCCGATGTCAATACTACACTTTTATTGTAGAACTTTATAGTATCTTTTAATATCTGGTAGGGCCCATCTTCCCTCGTAGCTTTCTTTTAACTGTTCTTGGGTGATTATTTTATTACTGTATGAACTTTGATGCCATTAAATCAAACAATATTTTTAATTGGAATATCATTAATTTGGCATATTAACTTGGGGAGAACTGATACATTTATGATTTGAATTGCCTTTTTCAGAAATAAGAGATATCTTTCATTTTGTTCAAGTCTGCTTTTGTGTCTTTTGGAGTTTTACTTAAATCGGCTTTTGATGTTTGTTAAGTTTATTCCTAAGTATT